GGAATAACAACATTGCAAACTTCTTTCCAGGATTAATTTAGTAAATAAGACGTCAGAAGTTATGACTCATTATATCGTTCATCTACAAGTTATAAAGTCGCAGCATGGAGTATATAATATTGTCATATCATTGTTCCCAGCTTGTTTTACGATTCAATCAAAATCATCCTTTATTAAGGTAATAATAATAATGAGCAGCGTTGGCCTAGTGGCTTCAGCGTTTGACTATCATCTCTGAGGTCGTAGATTCGATCACCGGCTGTGCACCAATGGACTTTCTTTCTATGTGCGCATTTAACATTTGCTCGAACGGTAAAGGAAAACATCGTGAGGAAGCCGACGCCAAAAGTAGACGGCATGTAGGCAGGCTGATCACCTACTTGCCTATTCGATTGAAAAATTATCATGAAACATATTCAGATATCTGAGGCCCAGACCTAAAGAGGTTGTAGCACCACTGATTTATATTTATTTTGATTAAGGTAAAAATGTCTCTCATTGAACACTATGGTATAAATATATCTAAAACTAAGGTCCAATATCCAGCCGTACGATTTTAGCAATCTCTTTCAGGCTAAATAAATATACTTTAAAGAATTTAAATAACTGCATCCATAATGCAGATAATCTTACTCAAAATATACCTATTATATAGAAATGTTAAAGCAATTAATTTTCATATTATTTTTTTGTGAGACAGACGGAGACACATTAATGTGTGTTTATATGCTCATCATTTAAGAGCAATCACAGTTAAAGCCTCTTAAACACATTCAAAAATTTAGATACTACTGGCTTTTAAAATATCTCTTCCGAGAAGACTCAGGTAGGAATTCGTCGAAAAATCCAATAACAGAAGGTCATATTTAAAGCAACACGTATTTACACACGTATATTATCGTAAAAACAAATAAATTGCACAAGATCAGAAATGCCAAAGTTGAAATGTTTAAACTATTAAAAACTTGTACACGAGTCTTGGTTGCCAACCATTGCATATTGGTCTTATTACAGACACTAAAACGAAGTTTTGAATTGTACTTTATTGTGAAACTTCAACATTTTATGACGTATGCTAATTTCCTCTTGAAATTTAATATTTCACTGCCTTGAAGATTTCACAAAGTTTGAAAACATGTATACTTACTATACTCATATGTATCTACTTTATATCATTGAAACTCTGTTGAGATGAGTGTAGTTGTAACTGTTTTAATATAAAGTGGGAACAAACCGTGATCCATGTGGTATCAAATTATTTCAGAATAAGTTGTATTATTATTATTTTCTTATGTAGCCAAGTTCACATTTCAAGGATCGTCATGCTCGCTTAAATGTCATTGCTTGTGGCGGCGTCCATGCGTCGGGTTGTCTCTCTCCCTAAAATATGGCGAGGGGGCCGATGGCTGGCCATGCGTCATGCTCGTGAACGGGTGCTGCTTGTGGTGACTGGTCGTATTTGAATTCGTGTATGCGGTGATGTTGGTTATTTCGACTATGTATTTGCGTGTGGTTCCCACGAGAATGTAAGTGCGTGCTCCTATTTCACCATGCCTTCTGCTGATAGAGGACAAATATTTGTTTTTAATTTATGTTATTATTAATTACTTAAAAAATGTCACATGGAACATGGTGTAGTGGTTGCAGCTCCTTATAAACATTTTGTAAAACAAAACAATGGCGATTAAAAAGAGTGGCGGAGAGTTTATTGCCAGTTCTTCTCTCCCGTTCTACGCCCTTGATTTGAGAACTGGCAGTAAATGTTAAAATTAGAAGCATTAATATGTATTTCTTTACTGACAAGTCATAAGTGTACATTATGTTACCTATGTGATGAAATGTTTTTTTTTTTTTAGTACCAACCATATCTACTGTAAATATCTTATGTCGTATAACGTTCGATATTTAAGACAATAAGTAGGTACGTATGTCACGACCTCAGCTTTTTCCTTAATCTGGTCTATGTCAGCTATTCTCGGTCTTCCTCATCCTCTCCTGCCTTCTATATTCCCCTCCAAGATGGTCTTAAAGAAGTTGTCGTGTCGCTCCACGTGTCCAATAATCTTCCCTCTCCGGTTTTCTATGCTTTTTTTTTCTCCAGGAGGTCAAGACACTGGCGCAGAACCGCACTGAATGACGATTAATCCACAGACAAGAGCCCGGCTCTTAAATTTGAAGAAGAAGTAGGTACCCCTACCACATTTTTATATAATCTAATATATAAAATTCTCGTGTCGCGGTGTTTGTACTTAAACTCCTCCGAAACGGCTTGACCGATTATCATGAAATTTTGTGTGCATATTCGGTATGTCTGAGAATCGGATAACATATATTTTCATCCCCCTAAATGTTAAGGGTAGTCCACCCCTAAATTATTAATTTTTAATTCTTAGATAAATTTTTATTTTTTTATTTTTTCATGATACGACATTAAAAAATACATACAACCCTTAATTTTTACCCCTTTACGATCAACCCCTATTTTTTATTATAAATGATATACATGGCAAAACGACATCTGCCGGATCAGCTAGTAATATAAAATATATGGCTCGATCTGACCCACCGCCGTACTCTCGAATTGAAACTCAAAGTGGATTTTAATTTCGATTATTGGTTGACTACCACGAACGTTGAACCAATAATAACAAAATTACAAGACGAAGCAAGCTTATGACTAACGTCCGTCCGGCACGGCTTCGTAAATCTATCTACTAAAGAATACAAATAATATCTTAAAATAAGACCTAAACTATACGATGGTAAAAGGGACTGGCTGACCCTTCCGCTACCTTTCCTATACCAACATCTGGCTGCCAGGTTCTTTTAGCAGCTTTCTAAACTATATTGTTTGTTGTCCATAACAATAGTTATGTTTATAAATATAGCATATAATATAGTTTCCCGTCTTATTTTATCTAATGCGTATTATAATTAATATTACATTCTGCTGAAGTCATCCGTAAGAGCATCTGATTGTTAAACCCTATACGGGATACATGTATATAAGTATAGTTTCGCTTCATGCAACTGCATTACTTTTCTAACCTTTATTAGAAGTTTAAGACAAATTAAAGAAAAAACTCCACAAACCAATGTTATCACAACAACGTTTCACGTAAAGAATTTCCGGCTGAAAACATTCGCAAGTATCTGGATAAACTATTCTTACTTTATTATCCGGTCCATGTCGACTTTTCTCTTTTCCTCCTTTCGTAGTTTAATTAAAATTATATCAAACGTTCGGACTGTTGGTAATTGAGCAGGATTTTTAGCGGAATTTTCGCACCAAATTAGCTTTAAAAGGAATTCTCGAGTGTATTAAAGTGAAGATGATGGCACTAATTTGAAAAATCTGTGGATTTCTTTAAGAGGTGTTTCTGGTTTAATTTCAGAACTGTTTATTTTTGTTGCATTCTAAGTTTATATTCCACAGTGTTGTAGAAACTGAAGAAGTGTCGTTTTTAATCGAAACGTTCTCATGAATATAAAAAAATAATCTTACATAATAGTTATTAAGAGAATATAAATTAATTGATCGAGCAATGATATTTTTCTCAAAAGATTCAAATCTAATTCAATCCAAAGATATTTTTTGCAAGAAACTATATTTTTTACACCTACCTGCAAGCATGTGTTAATCTTATATATAAAATTCTCGTGTCACAATGTTAGTCTGCATACTCCTCCGAAACGGCTTGACCGATTCCTCTGAAATTTGGTAAGCATATTGGGTAGGTCTGAGAATCGGCTAACATCTATTTTTCACACCCCTAAATAATAAGGGTGGTCCACCCCTCAATTTTTTTTTTTCATTTTTTTGACAAAATTTTTTTTTTTATTTTTTTATGATACGATATTCAAAAATACATACAACCCTAAGTTTTTGCCCTTCTATCACCAACCCCTATTTTTTATTATAAATGATATACGAGTACATGGCAAAACGACGTTTGCCGGATCAGCTAGTAGTAATATAAGAAAAAAATAGCTAGTTTTCTTTGAACATAACGTTTCCTTTTCATATACACCCGTCATATTGATATGTCACATCTTATTTGAAGCAATGATATTAAGGGCTATTCAGAATATTTCCGACGTTTACCTTAGATTTTCAACACAAAATGAACAAGTATGTATAAATTGTATTGCGTGTTTAACGCATATTTGGGTTGGTTAAAGCATGGTGTGTAAACCGGATTTAAAAGCAGATACTGACTTAAAAATTATAAATAATCAGACGCAGAAATGAGTCAGCCAATTTGCCTTATTAAATATCTCTTATGATCTCCAATTTAACTATAGGTGATCAGACAGAACGAGTTATATAATTTACACGGACTGTTGGCCCACCATTTAAAAAAATAAGTGTCTTAAGCTTTTTGAATAATAATAATACAGAAGCGCTACAATGCTATACAGTTCTTAGCCCTAGCTTGAATTGTTTTCTTTGATCAATTAATTTTATCCTTTTGACATGTTTTTTTTAATATTTTTGAGGGCATGCTGGTCTCCTCCTGTTTGCCTTCACTGCAGAAGCAAGTGTTAATTTCGCACGTAGAATAAAATTCCACTGATTTACAGCCGTGATTCGAACGAACGACCTAAGCGTTGAGAATCGCAAAACTGCTCGTAGCTTAGCAACATAGGCTTTTGAAATAACACAATTATGATTATTTGGCAAGATTTATGTTACATAATGTATATATTATGTCGGAGAAATTCCATAGCTGTCAGCAAAATAAATCAAGTAGTCGTTAATTTGTAGATCTGTAAATATTTGCAAATAGTGTAAACCCCTTAATATAATTTGATGTTGCTAATCTATGACATATAATAACAATGACAGCTGACAGTCATGCCATTGCTCTGACATATATAATATTTCTGTGTGCATGCAACTCGACTTCTGTTTGGCAAAATACTTTAGATTATACAACTTTCTAAAATAATATAATTGTGATAGATATTTTGTTTTTCAACTTTAAATACTTTTTTTATTACACTAGCATACAGCACTTCCGACCTGACGGGCAGTCTTCAGCCTCAAAAATGAGTTGAATATTGCAGAAGTCATTTAGTTTTATACAGGCGCCTCCCCTTTTCTGACATCTTAATTCTTTTAGGGATTCTGAAAGAAAGTATAGTAACATGAGCAACAGAGATGGAACAGAGAATTTATAAAGCATTTAACTTAAGGTTTTGAGAACTTTAATAGGATAATTAATGCTTTATGTTATTTAAAAAATCAGTGGTCCATATAGGTTTATATCAGTAGATAAATAAAATAAATAAATCAGTGGCGCTACTACCTCTTTAGGTCTAGGCCTCAGATTTCTGACTCTGTTTCAGGATAATTTTTCAATCTATTAGGCAAGTAGGTGATCAGCCTCCAGTGTCTGACACACGCCGTCGACGTTTTGGGTCTAAGACATGTCGGTTTCCTCAGGATGTTTTCCTTCACCGTTCGAGCGAATGTTAAATGCGCACATAGAAACAAAGTCCATTGGTGCACAGCCGGGGATCGAACCTACGATCTCAGGGATGAGAGTCGCACGCTGAAGCCACAAGGCCAACACTGCTCATCAGTAGATAAATAGAATTATAATTATTGTTCTTGATAATTTTTTGCGTAGCTATAAACTTACTCGCTGGGTATTTTAAATTAATGTATTATCTTCTCAATACTATATACTCACGTCCATGGCAACATTCTACCCCATGTTTGCGCTGTTTGGGGCAAAGATCTGGTTTTTCAGCCAAATGGCCTTTTGGGCAATCAGCGGCCACTGTACAGATACCACCTTGAGATGCACACGGCTCCTCTTGAATGATAGAATCGATGGTCCTAACTGGAATCGTGTAACCGTATAACCAATTTTATTATAATAAGGGTCTGTTTCACAATGTACGGATAAGTTCTACATAAGTTCCAAATTAGCTATTTATTACTTATTGGTAGGATAAACACTATTGTTGCGTTTCACGACTGTCAGATAGCGCTATTCGTCACATAAAGTCCATCATAAGTTATGAGTTCGATGAATGTAAATTTTCAAATTCAAATCCCAACCTATAATATATCAATGTTTTTATTGTAATATATGTTAAGGGTACAATAGTATAAAATAAGTTTATTGAATAACTGAAACACTAAACCTGAAAGAATCCTATATTCAATTAATGTAAAATTCCTATAGAAAAGACACACAAGTTGAGGCAGACACACAACTTCGCATGCGCATATATATCCGCAAAAATGTTATTGCAACTAAATTCGCTGGTAGCTGTTAACAATTGATAGATTTAGATCTCAATAATGTATGTCCTTTATACACTGCATAAAATATCGTTGTAAAGGCCAATTAACATGACAATTGGATAATGGATCTACGCGCATATTGCACAAAAGCAAAAGGATTCAGTACCTAAGTAGAATTTAATAAATATTATTTCTAACATACTATCGAGTCATAACTTTGTCTATACAAATCAATTTTGAGTTTGAGTTTGATATCTAAGCGAAAACGATTTTTCTGTACAATATAGTTATTTTAATTTAGTAAAATATAAAATCTCTTTATTTCATTTTCTTTCTCTTATTTTCTCAGGAAGCTGGCAGAGCATTTTACGCTGTTAAAAACATTTTTTTTTCACTTTTTTTACTTTTCAAAGACTTTCTAAAGAATAAGGAACTATAGAACTATTGTGTGTGGTACGAAAACCCAATTTTTTGATCGTCGACTTTTTGGGTCGGTTTCCTCAAGATGTTTCCTTCACTGTTCGGGCGAACGTTAAATGTGCACATAGACAGAAAGTCCATTGGTGCACAGCTGGGGATCAAACCTACGAACTCAGAGTTGCGAGTCGCTCGGTGGAGCTACTAGGCCAACACGGCTCTCTGTTAAATTAACAAGGTTTGACATGAAACGTTTATTTTTTATGTAAAGTCACGGCAATTTTCTTAGAGTATTCATTATTTGCAATTTCACACCAATTCGCTGTATCAAATTAAAACAAAAACACTCAGTCATGACTAAAAAATATTAAGAATAATATGCATTTTGTGTCGAATACCGGGAAATTAAAGAAAATTAATTACTATGAAGATTCTCAATAAAAAAATATTGTTAATATTTAGACTTACAACGTTGTATTTGGAAACAAACACCGACTACACCACATCATACGCAACGCAAACCTACATATAAGCCTAAAAACTCACTTTCTTCAAAACACTTTTTCTCATTCAAAGGCTTATCTTTAACCACTTTATTTTAAAAAAATCACTAACTATTCAAAACTTTATACATTCACTAATAATCTTCAACAAGATCTTCTAACCTGTCCTATGCTAAAGCAGAAAATATTCTTATCGTGACAATACTTTAACTATAAAATGTAAGTAGAAATTATTGTCAAGTTAATTATAGTTATAGTTAAACGTAAATTAATCAATAAAGCTTTTTATAAATTTGACGAATACTTAAATGATCCTAATCCTTGGGATTGATTTGCTCCAGTTCAAACAATTTGTATGATTCAATACTTGGCGATTAAAAAGAGTGGCGAAAATTTCTTGCCAGTTCTTCTTACCCGCTCTACGCCCTTGACTTGCGAACTGGTAGTAAATTTAAATTTACAATTAATTTAACTTATTTTTGACGTTCATAAGTGTACTTGTTTACCTATATGAGTAAAGATATTTTGAGTTTGAGTTTTAGTTAACATGTCAATAGTTAAAATATCGCTAGCTGCCCACGACACAAGAAGGAATCCTAGCGTAGCTAGACTACATTATTTTTAACTAAATAACCCTTTTTACTATGTATAAGGTTTTTATTTTTTCTTTTTTTCTTTCTCAACCTTTCGACATAAGAAAATTCATTATTTTTCATATTTAAATCATAAAACACTCATATTTAAATGGTGTTGATTTATTTTGTTCACAAAACTATATTTCACAAGTTTTGAAGTCCACTCGGGCATGGACAAAACGTTTCATTTATGATTAATAAAGATGAAACCACTACCAGTATCCATCCCATGTACAGCAATTATGAGTGTATAAAAATATTTAAAATAGGTGCTAATTTAAATACTATTTAAGTCCATAGTGCATCCTTGTATATATATACAATTTCCTGACAAAAAAATAACTAATTCAAAATGGTACATTTCAAAAAAATTCCTTTACATATGAAAAAGAGCCATCTCATTCAAAATGTTCACAATATAATATATCGAATTATGAAAGATGTATAAAATAATATAGTTCATGAAATAAGCTTATAAAATAACTACTCACAGTCCTCCTCATTTCCACATACGACGTATACAAATATGCAAATAATAAATACAGTCTTCATTGCGTCTGCGCTTGCGTCGATCGAAACCAAGAGTGATGAAATGTCTTGTGGGGATCGGCCTAACACAGATTTCCTTATATGGAACAATTGTATAATAGTTAGGACAGAGTTATGGCCTTCGCTGATGCTGACCGATAACAAGTGTAAATAAATATAATTGGAGACTGTTATTGAGAAAAATTATAAACGATTTTGTTTTCAATTTATTTGTATTCATAGTTTTATATAATTAAATAAATCGCTTAACTAAAACATAGGTTAATAGAAGTGAACCTGCTATTTAAAACTCATTATACATACATTTTCTAAGTCTAAGATGTATGTCCGTGATGTTAGAGGTACCGGTTTGATTCCCGGTCGGAGCGCAAGTTTATTTCTATAAATTTAAATTTGTGTTCTGTAAACTACCATAGTTGCATGAGGTTGGCAATTCAACATTCCTTTTTAAACTTGGTAGAATGCTATCGCAACCCCAAGTTACCCCATTGACGTGATTGGTGGGAGGGGTTTTGGTGGGTAGGGCTGTTAGAGCGAGTCCCACAGTGCGGAAATGCATTCCCCTCAATTTAAAATAAAATCTAAGGACTGTGATATGTAACTTAAACATCAGAATTAAATGGTTCGTTGTAGTTTTAACTTTTCTCCTTTTAATCAAATTTTCTAAATAAATACAACATTCTCGCCAACATTTCACGCGCATTAGCGCATAAGTACCGGACTACTGAAACAAATTGTAAAATTAAACAAAACGAAGCCTTTATAATCTAATAGTTAAAAGTGTGAGTGAATGAGACAAGACTATTAGAGATCTAGTGGATATTATGAAAAAGATACAGGATGTAGATTTTTTCGAATTTCAATAAGAATTAGTAAAAAAAGGCAATTTTCTTATAAAAACGCAAAATAAATTATAACTCAGCAGGGGTTGAGCTTAGGGACCTCACGTAGAACAATTTTTTTGTAGCTGATGACCTCATCTATCCCCTAGTTGCGTTTGATCCACGACTTTTTGACCACCCTGTATATGTATAAAGAAATAAAGGAAATACACAACATGGGTCGTAACTATTAAGTTTATTAGATTTTCAAACTATTTTACTCATTAACACATATTGTGCCAATACAATGGAAACTCGTTTTGCCAAAGTCGAGAACAAACACTAGATTATAATAAGCATTTTATAAATACAACAGTAAGCTAAGGAAGCAATTTTCATAATGGCAACGTTCCTGCAACATCCAGTTAATTGAAACAAAGGCTTATAATAGGCTATCACGGAATCTTTACGCTCTGAATACTATATAGTGTATTTTGTAACGCCCAACAGAAATTATCAAAGGGACCTTTCAGATATTCAGTATGGAATTAACATCATATTCTGTGTGCGAAAGGTGAACAACAATTGAACATTAAGAAAACCGTTAATTGGAATCGCAATTATTTTCAAAATGGGAAATGTTTTTTCCTTATCAACCTATTAAGTTATTTTATCATCATAATATCTATCAGAATTAATTGAACCGTCTTAACAATGTTAACTACTATTTACCTTATTGTGTACCTACTATAAAAATATATTTTGATAAGTAATCATAACAATCAAATATACAGTATATACATTTTCTTAACCTACATAGTAATAATAAAAATAATTAAAAATTAATATAAAAATAATTACAAGTTTGGTCCCTGTGTTACTGTGATTTTACCTTTAACGCTGGCAGCATTTCGTCGCTGTATTGCCAGGAAAGTACCAGTTCTGTGTTTACCAGTACTACATACTACCAGGCGCTAACTTAAATCTTTAATTAGCGCCTGTGCACTTGAACCCCACGGCCCAAGAGTCTACTCGAAAGGGAACAATATTGAAGTTGGAAGGAAGACTCTTATATTGGCCGTTTATTATATTCCGTCTGCTTTGCGGCCGCCCCAGCTTTTTTGCTTGTCCGAGCGAGACGGGGCAAACGTGTCCACACAAGTAGCATCCCATACCAAAGCCCGTACCATCTTCTAAGGTATTTGCCATCGTCTCTTGCGATGCCTGTTGAGTGCTCCAAAATAAAATAATGTTTTGTGTTTATACATTAAACGATGTTTTTAGTTAGACAAACATGAGGGTGTGCGTGGAGTAACTTAAATAATATATAATATTGACTATTATTTTTTGATTTAAAGATTAAACAAAGAAATAATGTATCAATAGCTGCCTTTAAATTTCTTATTAATACTGTAAATTGAATCCACCTGTTTCCTAAAGAGTATCGACTACTATTTAATCGAAAATTGGATGAACTTTTGATATTTTGCATAACATAAATAATAATATGGCATTTCGTTGTAGCTGCCCACTGAATTATTTCCGAACCAATTTACTGTACTTAGGGTCCTTCAAGTAAAGAGTGTACCAATTCTTAAAAGGCCGGCAACGCGCTCGCGCCTTTGGCAGTGTGAGTGTCCATGGACGGCGGTATCACTTAACATCAGGTGACTCTCCTGCCCGTTTGCCTTTTGTAACATAAAAAAGCGACACCCCTTCGATTACAGTAATTGCGATGTCATATAACGAAGTTATTCCGGCTATACAACTTTTCGACTTCAGCCACTGGAAACTTCAGGCCGGCTAGTCAGTGGTTAGAGTGGTCGAGGATCCTTCCTTAAGGTTAACTATCCTTCCTTCACATCGTTAGTAAAGTTTAAACAGTTTGTCATATTGGTAATATGTTGATATATTTAATAGCTTTTCTTATAAATGAAACGTTGTTTGGTGTGAAATTTCACTTTCTTCCTTTCTACTATACATCTTAATATATATAAATTACGTGTCACGTTGTTTGTCCGCTATGGACTCCTAAACTACTTAACCGATTTCAATCAAATTTGCACACCGTGTGCGGTTTGATCTAACTTAAAAGATAGGATAGCTTACATCTCAATTTATACCCGCAATATTATTTTATTGTAAAATATTTGTTTATTTTTTAACAGTCACAATTCTAACAGATGGCGCTGTGTTGAAAGTACGAACGTTTCACATAAGCTACAATTTAATGGCATAACCACCAATAAAGCATGGTGGTCCCCATGACTGGTGTTCTCCTACCGTTTCCCTTGAATAGTTTACTATGTAATATAACAAAAACCTTAGCCACAGCAACGCTTGGCCGGTTTGCTAGTATACTATATATCTACTTGTATTCACATTAAAACTTTTTCAAACTATATAAGTGCAAACTTATCATCTATATACTAATGGCGCTACAACCTTTTAAGTCCGCAGCACATATTTCTGTATCTGTTTCATGATAAGAAAAGTAAATGCTTAATAGTGGTGATCAGCTTTCTGTGCATAACTTTTTTAAACCACTGACTTTCATTATCCATTTATAAAAAACTAGCTGACCCGGCAAATGTTGTTTTGCCATGTATATTATTTCTAGGAAACATTTTTTTTTACTATATACTATAATAAAAAATAGGGGTTGATTGTAGAGGGGTTGTATGTATTTTTGTCTGCTGTATCATACAAAAATAAACACTAAAAAGTTGTCAAAAAAAATAAAAACTGTTTGGGGTGGACACCCCTTATCATTTAGGGGTTTGAAAGATAGTAGCCGATTCTCAGACTTACCCAATATGCATACAAAATTTCATAAGAATCGGTCGAGCCCTTTCGGAGGAGTATGGGAACGAATTTTATATATTAGATGTCGCGTAGCAATGACGGACATAATGTTTTTTCTTAATTTATAGTTTGGCCAGAAACTAAACCCAGGTAATTTGCGTTACTAACCCACGGAGTCCCCATTCCTTTATTGGATTTCATAAGAAAATCTATATCTAGATTGAAAATAATAATTGTAAATTATATAGATATTAAAATAATTACTATGGCAGTCTTAATGTGCCTCGAAATCCCAGCGGAGAACAAATGAATTGGTTTTGCAAACGAAGCAGAAAGTTAAGGCTGTATACAAACGGAATATAATGAGAATAATATTATTATTAATCACAATTTATTTAAATTTGAATTACAGAAGAGCCAAAAATATATAACGGTCTTATAGTCGACTGTACCGTAGACTTCATGGGCTGGATCTTCTCAATTCTATAGGCTAAAATCTCCGAAGCCAAAGCGTCGACTACTATTAATTCATAGATTTTAGCAAATAGCGTCAAATATTCTAATATATAAAATTCTCGTGTCACAATGTTCGTACCCATACTCCTCGGAAACAGCTCGACCGATTCTTATGAAATTTTTTATCCATATTCAGTAAGTCTGAGAATCGGCTAAGGCCCCCTGAATTAATTTTTTATTTTTTTGACAAAAATTTTTGTTTTTATTTTTATATGATACAGCATACAAAAATACGAACCCTTAATTGTCACCCCTCTACGATCAACCCCTATTTTTTATTATCGTAGATAGTTATTTTTATTGAACTAAAAAAATGTTTCCTAGAAATAATATACATGGCAAAACGACATTTGCCGGGTCAACTAGTTTTTTTATAAATGAATAAAACAATCTTCACTTAGATATAGTACATACAGTGATAAATTATTGAAAATATAGAGAAAATAAACCAAACCCGCTAACCTAATCTAACCTACCTACAAAGTTACGTGTAATTAGCAGAATGAACTATAACCTATAACCAGTTTATGCCCCCAATTGAATTCACACATAAAAATATTTTAAACTTGCGGCATGGTTGCGGTGCCTACTCTTACACCGCAGCGTACATTTTGTGATTATACGAAATAATGTCATCTAGTGCATGTTCAGCCTACATCTCTCATTAGAGTGGACGGGCAGCCGGACCGCAACCGGTAATAGTTTCTGCGGTGGATTTAACGCGTTTCTTGAACTCCGTGCTACCGATTTTAGTTTATCTCATAATATATATGGTATGACGTCAGTTGGAACTGCATCCCGACCACAGATTCACACGCATATTAGCTTGTTCCCCTGGTAATACCTAAATGTTATCTGTAT